GCTGCCCCTCTCTCACCCCATTCCGCTCCTGTCTGGTCCCACAGCGCAAGCAAGTTCTGCCTGCAACTAACTTCTAGGCTCTTGCTTTGGTCCATAGAACATTCTGGGCAGGAACCGCAGCCTCTCCAGGGAGGGCAGAAGAGGGAGCCTGGAATCAGGACAGTGGCTGCTCATTCCCAGACTGCTGGAGTCTCCGGCCTGAGGAAGCCGCCAGGGTCCTTAGGACAGACCCCCAGCAAATGAGCCAGCAGGTGGCAGGTGGCGGGTCAGACACCAGCAAGAGGGCACTCTCTCCCTTGGTGACAGCCGCTGCAGTCCCGAAGCAGGTGATGGCCACCCGGTCCGGGCTGACCTCTGGCCCCATAGCTTCTGCCTCGCAGGCCTTTCCTGGACCCACAGAAGAAAAGTCTGGGCCCTTTTACCCAAGAGCTCCCAGATGCCCAGGATGACCCCGTCCTCTGTATTTACTTTCAAATGCTCCATGCACTCTGTCCATCAAGAATTCTGTTACAGGGGTGCCGGGGGGGCTCAGTGGGTTAAGCCTCTGCCTTCGGCTCAGGTCATGATCTCAGGGTCCTGGGATCGAGTCCCACATCGGGCTCTCTGCTCAGCGGGGAGCCTGCTCCCGCCCCCCTGCCTGTCTCTGCCTACTCGTGATCTCTGTCTGTCAAATAAATTAATAAAATCTTAAAAAAAAAAAAAAAAGAATTATGTTACACACAGGGCCTACTCCTCCATACCCTGCGTCTCTGTCCTTCTTCCCAGAGGGGCCCACCGTCCTCTCCTTCAGTTCCAGCGCCCGTTTGCTTTCCGGAGACGCTGCGTGTGCGCCCGTGTCCGCGGGACGCGCTGTTCTGCCGGGATGTGATCGTGAGGGTTCTGCCCCGGCTCTTCCTGCTCCACGACAGGCTCCTGGGCTTCAGCCGCGCGGCGGTGCCCCCACGGTGGGGCCCGGTGAGCACAGCCCAGGAAAGGCAAACACCAGCGCCTGGAGCCAGGTCCCGCTGCTGGGGACAGGACGCGCACGCCCACTCCGGAGAGCCGTGTTTGGTCCCGTGAGGGCGTGCGATCCCCTCCCAGACAGCCTCGCAGGCCAGGAGGCCTGGGCGCGGGTGCTCCGGTGGCGCTGGGTACCAGGACCCACATCCCCACCCCCTCACTCATGGCGCTCTCATCCGTGAGCTCCTGGGAAGGACCATGCGCAGGGCACTTGCCCAGGGCGGGCCGAAGCGAACCGTCTGGGTTCAGGCCCGGAGGTATCACCGTCGCACCTCAGACGAGAAGCTGGGACTCGGAGAGTTTAGGGGTCTCTGGAGGACTCCCACTCGGGTGTGCCTCGAGAGCCGGTGGTCTGCACAGCCTCCCCCGCAGCCTTGCCCCACTGCTCCAGGCATGCGGTGAAGGGGGTGTCTGTGCCCTCCATCAGGGGGGTGCCCAGCCCACACTCAGCCCCGGCTGTGGTCCATGAGGCAGCAAACGCCCGTCAGGGGCTCCGTGTGGGGAGGCCCTGGTGGCCCAGCCCGCATCCCCGATCCCAGCTCCAGCGCCCCCCAGCAGCTCCCCTGTCCTTCTCTGTCCACTTCTCCCAAAGCTGGGCGGGCCGGTGGTGGAGGGGGAGGGAGACTCAACTCTAACCAGGCCAGAGGGACTTGTGTCCCAAGTCGGTCACCTCCTGGCTCCATGTGGCCTATGGTGGCCCCGAGTCAGATGACAGGAGAAGCATGAGGGACGGCAGAGACTAGACTTCTCTGTGCGTCCCTCTCTCTGACTCGTGCTGTGACCCCAACGGCTTCATGCCCAGAGAGAGGGACGCACAGTCCAGATTCTGACCGTGTGGTCTTGGACGGGTCACTCACCCTCTCGGAGCCGTCTCCTCCAGTGGAAACCAGGCACCATCACAACACTATTACCTGCCTCACTCCCTAAATCTTAGTTTTCAGACATTCAGTTCTGGCGGGAGGATGGAGGCTTCTTGAGGCAACAGCGGCCCCTGGTGCCACACCCTGCTACAGGCGGCGGACCGGCCGGCGGGGAGCTGGGAGCCGGAAGGCTGCCTCTCTGTGGGGTGCTCACCGAACCCCTGGCCCGGAGTGCCCACAGACGGAAGGGGACAGCACGTCTCGTCTCTGTACCTTCTCTCCGGGAGCGGCCCGTCCATACTCATGGCCCCCCCCCCCGTCCCCCCATCCACCCCACCTCAGTCCTCCCCCGTGACCTTCCTAAGACACAAGTCTGAGCAGGTTACCCCGTGACCGAGGTTAAAACCCTTCCATGGCTCCTTGCTGCCTTGAGGGCAGAGGCCCCACTTTAACCCCACAGCACCCTGCTCTGCCCGACCTGTCTATGGGCCCCACAGTGTGGCCCCCCGTGTCCAATATGCCCAGAAGCTCCGGGACGGGTGCCCACAGGGGTCCTCCGTGATTCCCTCACAATATTTATTCAGAGCACGCGGTGCCCCCAGCATTCGAGAGCGGGGCTCGGGAGTGCTGTTCCAGTACGTTCATGAGAAAACCAAGACCCAGAGCGGTACACTGACGCCTCCAAGTGGCCTAGAGGGATAGGGCTCCTTGTGCAGAGCTCTTTCCACCTGCCTGCTGTCTTTGCGTCAGCCGCCTGGCCAGGATGGAGGCTGGGAAGGCCCCTTGCCCTGCTGCGGAGGAGAGACCCCCACGCCAGGCCCAGCCGGCTGGCTGGAAGGAGGGGGACAGGGAGGCAAAGGGAGGGGCCGGTATGTCCCTCTGCAATCCCTTCGGGACCTCTGGCAGATGCCCTCCGAGCTTTGTGGGAGGGGGGAAACGAGGCTGAGTGCTGCTTAGCCGGTGTTGTAGTCAGCCTCCATCAGGCATGGACCCCCCCGGGAGGGCTTACGGCCCCATGGCGGCTCCTTTCACGGCATCTGCTTGGCACATCCACACCTCACCTGTCCCTCCCTGGGGCGCCCTCTGTCCCCGCCATCCCCATCCAGAGTCTGTTTCCCTAACTCAGCCAGGCCCAGAGGGAGATGAGCACACTCCTGGCCCAGGAGTGGGACCCCAGCGTGCCCTTCAGGCAGCCCCCCCCCTCGAAGACTGGTCCCCTCGGGAGCCCGCACCCTCTCGCCTTGCGGGGGCATCACACTTCTCCTCTGAGCCGAGGAGGGAGAAGCCGCAGCCTGCCCTCTGGAGCGGCACCCCAGCACATGTGGATGGGGCACAGAGACCTTCCCAGCGGCTCTGGGATGCTCCTCTGGGGGATGTGGGGCTCAGAGGCTCCCTCTTCTAGCTCTGGAGCTTCGCTGGGACAGGAGCAGACTGAGAAAGCCTCCATCGAACATTACTCCAGGTTCTCTTGCTGCCCGGACTTCTTCCTCTGGGATCAATTCCAACCCCTCAAAGTCCCTCTGAAAACACAGTGTCCAGAACTATTCTCCACGTACTGAGGGCAACGGGGCTCTCACCTCTGGTCTGGACACCCCGCGTCCATTAACCACTCACTGGGTTGGGCAGCCATTTCCCAGCACTGGTTCACAACAAGCTGTGGTCCGCTAAGACCCTCGGGCTGTCTTCAGCGGAGATGCTCTCCTCTTCACTGGTCCCTTCTTACGCCTGCTGAGTTTGAAACCAAAAGCAGATTTTTACATTTATCCTCATTAAACGTCATTGGGTCCATTTTTTCCTATTTGGTCAAATTCTAACTCTCGGCTCCTGCATGAGCCTTAGATCGGACAAATAAGGTCTACGCTTTCCTCCTGCTCTTCAGCAAACGTCCATGGCTGTCAATCTCTGGGGATGGCCACTGAACTCTATCTGCCCTCTGGAGTGTCATGTGGCCCATGTGGCCTGGGCCCCGGGGACAAAAGTGCAGCCGAAAGCCTCACAAAAGCCCGGGGAATCCAGTACAACCCCAGGGCAGGGGAGAGGAGGCCATTTGGCTCTCCAGGCACCCACTGAGTGCCCGCTGGCCCCCACGGAGGGCCTTCTTCCCCTGAACATGTCATCGCTTCAAGTATCACTTACCTGTTGGCAGTCGGCTGAGCATTTCTGCAGCTCCGACCAGGACCACTGGGCTGGAGGATGCCCTCCTCCAGAAGGCCTGCCCCATGGCTCCCACCCCAGTGATTTCTCGGCTTCCAGAATGCAGAATCCTCAAAGGTTTTGCGGATTCGGTCCGAGAGCGCCAGTAAGACGTGGGAACAGGATCCCGCCCCTTACAAGGACCAAGAAAGGGACTGGCCGTGACCAAGAGGGCCCTCTTCTTTCGGCTCCCCTCCTCCTCGCGGCCCCGCCACTCACCACCGGGGGGCACCCTCTGCCCACTACACGCCTCGTGACACCGAGGGCGGGAGGGGGCCCCCCTTTCCTGGGAACTGGGGGCCCCCCTTTCCTGGGAACTGGTGGGGCCTTGCCCTCCCCGATCAGTGGGTTTGTGAGCCTCAGGCCAGAGGGAAGAGCGGCGGGAAGCACCGAGCCGAGCGGTGGGCGGGCACCGCCCCCCGCATCTCCCCGCGTCCTGGCGTCTGTGCACACGCCGCGCCTCCGGACAGAACGTCCTTGCACTCGCTCTCCGCTCCGGGCCCCCCCCACCCCCGTCCTCTCTGCGATGCCGCTTCTCCAGGGCGAGACCAACCGACGTCCCGTGAGAGGCCCATCATCGCTCCCATTTTGTGGATGAAGAAACTGAGTCCGAGGACTTCGTAAGCGGTACCTCTGCTGCGGGTGCTGAGGCACAGGGACCCGCCCCGCTGCCGCCCCCCCCCCCCCCCGCCATGCCCGCCCGCCCCCCTAGGCGTCGGTCCCGGGCCCCTCCACAGGCCCAGCTCTGGGCACGGCCTCCCCCGGAGGCAGCCTCTCGTGGGATCGGGTTCCCCAGGCAGGCGTCGCGCTCGCTCCAGCTCCCGCACAGCGCGGCGCACGGACGCGGGCGGGACCCGCTTCCCGAACTCCAGGGGTTAAGGCCCGGGTCCCGCCCCTTTTCCCGCCCGGCTGGCGGGAGTATGAATAGCCTCGTTCCCACTCCCGACGCTCAGTCGCTCGGCTGCTCCTCGCCCCGCCCCGTCATTGTCCCCGGAGGTCTCCTTTCCCCTCCCCGTGCGTCCTAAGAGCTGTGAGAGTTGCTGGCTTCTCCCGCTGCCCGGGGTCTCTCCGCCTTCGGGGGTCAGGCTCTCGAGCAAGATGGAGGGCTGCCTGGGGGAGGAATCTTTTCAGATGTGGGAGCTCAACCGGCGCCTGGAGGCCTACCTGGCGCGGGTGAAGGCCCTAGAGGAGCAGAATGAGCTGCTCGGCGCGGAGCTCGGAGGCCTCCGGGCACAGACCGGGGACGCCTCCTGGCGCGCCCGTGCCGACGACGAGCTGGCGGCCCTGCGGGCCCTCGTCGACCAGCGCTGGCGGGAGAAGCACGCGGCCGAGGTGGCGCGCGACAACCTGGCGGAAGAGGTGGCGGGCGTGGCAGGCCAGTGCCAGCAGCAGAGGCTGGCGCGGGAGCGGGCGGCGGCCGAGGCGGCCCGCATCCGGCGTGCGGCCGAGGCCGAGAAGTGCGCCCAGACCCGGCTGAGCGCCCGGGCGGCGGAGCTGGAGCGCGAGCTGGAGGTGGTGTGCGCGGCGCACGAGGAGGAGCGCGCGGTCCTGAGCGCCCGGCCCCGCGCCCCCAGCCGCCCCGCCGCGCCCCGCGGGTCCCCCGCGCCCGCCCCGGAGCTGGAGGAGCTGGCGCGGCAGCTGGGCGACGCGTGGCGCGGGGCGGTGCGCGGCTACCAGGAGCGCGTGGCGCGCATGGAGACGTCGCTGGGCCAGGCCCGCGAGCGCTTGGGCCGCGCGGTGCAGGGCGCCCGCGAGGGTCGCCTGGAGCTGCAGCAGCTGCAGGCGGAGCGTGGCGGCCTCCGGGAGCGCAGGGCCGCGCTGGAGCAGAGGCTGGAGAGCTGCTGGCAGGAGCGGCTGCGTGCCACCGAGAAGTTCCAGGTGACAGGGGCGGGGCGGGGAGCCGTGCGGTCCCCGTGGGGCTCAGGGACCTGGTGAAGGCAGCGGGGAGCGGTAGTGGTGGTGGCTGCCCAGTCAGGAGCCACTTCTTAGAAAGCCCATCCTGGTGCCAGAAGCCCCTGACTTCCCCCACTTTGTCTAGAGTAGGGTGGGGGGTTCAGACCACTTCAAAGAGCACACCCCTGGCCTGCCAGGAGGGACAGGGGAGGGACAGGCATAGGACGGACAGTGGCAGCGGCCTCCTCACTGTCTGGCCATGACCACCCCCCCACCCCCCGCCCCCCCACAACCCCTCTCTTCTCCCGGGCTCTGGTGTTGCTCAGAAGATGCGCAGGTCCTCACTCCCAGCCCCCATCGCCCCCCAGCGCTGAGTCTGCCCAGTTCCTAACTGCCCCCTCCCCCTGACAAGAGGGGGTCAGTGGGGCCCCATGTGCAGCCCCAGTCCCACTCCCCTGTAGTGTCTGCTCAGCTCCCCCCCCAGCACATTCCAGAGCCCGGGACAGCTGCTCCCCATGACACAGCGTGGATGGGAGCAGCAGCTGAGAAAATGGCCTCCCGCCTGGGCCACACAGAGGTCAGGCCACCGCCACCTCCCACCCCTCCTCTCAGAGGAGAAAGATTCCAGAACATGTGGGAAGTGGAGGGGGTGGAGGCCTCTTGTGAGGACAGGAGACAGTGATTGGAACCGGGACTGCGGGTTCCAGGCCTCTTGATGAATCGTTTTTCCTTCTGCGTCCACTTTTGTTCCCCTCTCCTCCCTGGAACCCATCTCCTCTCCTCCCTCACCTCCCCCTTCCTGTGGGAGCTGCAGTCCCATTCACTCCCCTGGGAGAGGGCCGGGAGGGGTCGCGGACCTCGGAAACCCCAGAGGAGGTGCCCTGGGCAGGACGTAGGGGAGTAGAAGGGGGGATCCACCAGGGAGCAGAGGGAGCTGCGGCCCAGGGGGCCCGCGGGTTAGTTAGCGGGGGAAGCCTGCCCCTTCACTGGCTGTCCCCCCTTGTTCTGCAGTCCACTGTGGAGGCTCTGGAGCAGGAGAAGCTCGGCCTGCAGGGCCAGACCGCCCAGGTGCTGGCAGGTCGGCGGCAGCTGGCAGAGCTCCAGATGTCCCTCAGCCTGGAGGTGGCTACCTACAGGTATGGGTTTCCGGGCCCGGCCAGGCACACCGACGCACACACCCCTTCCGAGGCCGGGTCACCACCAGAGGGGCCCAGAGCCATGGGTGGTGGGAACTGGGCTGCCACTAGGTGCTGTGACTCCCGGCCGAGTCCTACCCCACTAGGGCGTGTCCCAGCGGAGCCCACCTGCTCCGGTGTGCGCGCAGGAACGAAAAAGTCTCCTGGGCCTAGGAGATCCCCCAAGGGCGGGTGATGCTGCTGAGTGGGACGGCTTCAGGAGAGACCGCTGGACACACAGGCATTGGGGGGGGGGGCTCTCCATCCAGACCCCGCCTTGAGGCTGAAAAGCCAAGTCTCTCTGTGTGTGTGTGTGTGTGTGTGTGTGTGCGCGCGTGCGCGCGCACGCTCACACCAAGGGGATGAAGTCCCCAGGCAGCCCCACAAAGGATGAACTGCAGGTTGGGGCCGGGGGTACCCGACCTGGGCCTTGGTTTCCTTGTCTGGAAGTGGGAGAGGGGCTGGGTGACATCCAAGGCCCCTTCCATCCTGAATGTCACAGGCCTGACTCCCGTTGAGCCCCAGCCCCCTGGCCCTGCCCAGCCCTACCGCTGATCACATTTCCTGTTGGCTCCAGAAAGGCTGAGACCGAGGAAGTGCCGCCTCTCTCAAAGCCACAGTCTCTTCTGGGAAATTGGCCTGGGGGGTTGGGGGGGGACCCCGGGATGGAGCTTGAGGATGGGGCTTTGCCTTCGGGCGGGGCTAGAGCTAGACATGCAAGGACAGTACCCTGAGAATTCACAGGCCGACCAAGACAGGGACCCCGGGACAGGATCAGGAGGTCAGGGAAGGCAGGGCCCCGAGAGGGAAGGTCAGTGAGGGTCCTGGGATGAAGAAGAGGACACCAAGCTCAGAGAGTCAGAGCCCCGTGGGGAAGGACAGAGGTGAGATCACGGCGGACACTAAGCAGACTCAGAGTCCTTGAGAGGAGCAGGGAGTGGATGCTCAGCATCCCCCGCACCCCCCCCCCCGTCCCTGGACCCTCCTCATTCCCCGTGGGGCACAGAGGCAGGGTCATGGACACAAAGACTGCCACTGCCCCCAAAGGCTTGGGATCCAGAGTACTTAGAGATCCCAGGATGAGGGCTTCGACCCCCAGTCAAACCACCCAGGGAAAGAGTCAGGGCCGGCTTAACCACTGGTTTTTGAGGCATGAAAAGGATTTGGAGAGAGAGAGCGGAATTCATTTGCTTTTGTCTGTGACCAGCTTTGGGGGCCCTGGGGGAGAAGGAGGGAGCCTATCCCATGGGAACAGCGTGAGAATTCCCACTTCCCCTGGGAAGCCCCCAACTCAGACCCTCCAGACTGCACTGTGGACAAAGGCGGTGATTAGCATGAGAATCGGCCCCACAGGGAGGATGAGATCACTGGCCTGGGGTTGGGGGTGGGGGGGCTGTGTGGGTGTGTGCACACTGTGTGGACTGTGTGGGAATCTGCTGTGTGTGAGTCTGGCCATGTGTCCCAAGCATGTGTGCGATGCTGTGGTTTGTGTCCATGGGACTCCCCAGGCTCAGCCAAGTGTGACCCCACGCGTGGCTTTTGCGGCAGTGGGAATGAAGAGGAAGCCGGCAGGGCCAGGGACACAGGCTCAGCAAGTCCTCCCAGGCCTGCTTGCCAGAGGCCTGCGGACAGACGGCTGACCCGGCATCTCCTCCCTCATCCCCAGGACCCTCCTAGAGGCTGAGAATTCCAGGCTGCAGACCCCTGGTGGTGTTTCCAAGGCTTCTCTCTGCTTCCAGGGTAAGAGGAGGGGCCAGGACCCCCCCCCCCCCCCCCACTCTCTCCTTCTTTGCTCTTTAAGCCCCAGAGTAATTCCTATCCTGGGAGACCCAGTCTAGGTCTTGAGTCCTTGGCCTCCGTCCGGTACCAGTGAGTGGACTCTCAGCCCAGCCAGTGGAAGGTGGGGCAGGGCTCACGGGCACTCTTGCCAGAAGTGGTGGCTGCTTTGAAACTCCCCGCCAGTCCCTACTGACACTGTCTCTTCCCCTCTGCCTTTCCAGACCCTAAGCTGGAGCTGCATTTCCCTGGGACCCCAGAGGGCCGGCATCTGGGACCTTTGCTCTCTGCCCTGAGCCCTACTTCCCTCTCCTTGCCCTTGCCTGATACCCTTGAGACACCTGTGCCAGGCTTTCTGAAGAGCCGAGAATTCCTCCAGGCCCGTACCCCAACCCTGGCCAGCACCCCCATCCCCCCCCCCACTTCCGGCTCCCTGCGCTGCTACAGATGCAGAGATCGGAACCCAGGATGCCCCCCTGTCCCTGCTCCAGCCACAGAGTGGGAGGGAGCAGGCCCCAGAAGCTATGCGGGCCCCGGCCCTCCCTTCCAGCATTCTGCCAGGACCAGAGGAGCCTGGGGGCGAGCAACAAGAGGCCGGTACTGGCCGGTCTTCTGAGGATCACACCTCCTTGGCCCCACCCCTCAGCCCAGACCCCTGTAGTTTAGAGGCCAAAGGGGGAGAACCCAGTGAGTCTAGAAGGGCTCGCCGATTCCAGGACAAAGGTGAAGGGCGAGTCTGGGGGCTGGCAGAGAAAGAAACTGCCACAGAGGTCAAAATGGTGAACAGTTTGCAGCAGGAAACACGGCCAGAAGACGGGGGTCTGAACACGAAGGAGGTCCAGGACTCCCAGGGTCCTTTGGAAGAAGAAACTCTGAAGTCTGTGGACGAGGAAATTCGAGAGCCGCTGATGTCTCTGGAAAAACAGAGCTATGAGACACTGACATCTCTGGAGGAGAATCCAGAATCTCTGAGGTCTTTAAAAGAAGAGAGGTTAGACACATCAAAGGGTCTAGAAAAGGAGAATCGAGAGCTATTGACGTCTTTAGAAGAGAAGGATGCAGAAGTAGTGAGACCTCTAGAAAAAGAGACTCGAGGGCTACTTAAACCTGTAGGAAAAGAGGACCCACAGACATTGCAATCTCTAGAAAAGGAGAATCGAGAACTAATGGGGTCTCTTGAAGGTAATGTAGAGACATTTTTATATCCAGAAAAGGAAAACCACGTGTTAGTAAGGTCTCTAGAAGAGAACTTTGAGTTGATGAGAGAATCAGAAAAGGAGAATCAAGAGCCATTGAGATCTCTAGAAGATGAGACTCTAGAGAACTTGAGACTACTAGAAAAAGAAAACCAAGAGCCTCTCAACTCTCCAGAAGGTGAGAAGCATAAGACCTTGAGACCTCCAGAAAAAGAGAACCAGGAACCAGTGAGGTGTCTAGAAAAAGATGACCAAGGGACATTGAGGCCTCTAGAAAAAGAGAACCAGGAGTCCTTGAGGTCTCTAGAAGAAGAGGACCAGGAATCAGTGAGACCTCTAGAAGAAGAATACCAGGAGCCAGTGAAGTCTGTAGGAGATGAGAACCAGGAGACATTGGGATCTCTAGAAAAAGAGAACCAGAGGTCCTTGGGGTCTCTAGAAGAAGAGGACCAGAAGATAGTGATACCTGTAGAAGAGAACCAGGAGCCAGTGAGGTCTCTAGAAGACGACCAGGAGACACTGAATCCCCTAGAAAAAGAAAACCAGGAGCCAGTGAAGCCTCTAGAAGATAAGAACCAAGAGACATTGGGATCTCTAGAAAAAGAGACCCAGAGGTCCTTGAGGTCTCTAGAAGAGGACCGAGAGATGGTGAGACCTCTAGAAAACGAACACCAGGAGCCAGTGGTGTCTCTAGTAGAAGAAGACCAGGCAACACTGAGACTTTTAGAAAAAGAGAACCACGAGCCACTGAAGTCTCTAGAAGATGACAACCAGGAGACATTGGGATCCCTGGAAAAAGAGAATCAGAGGTCGTTGGGGTCTCTAGAAGAAGATGACCAGGAGACAGTGAGTCCTCTAGAAAAAGAAAACCAGGAGCCAGTGGAGTGCCTAGAAGAAGAAGGCCAGGAGACATTGAGACCTCTAGAAAAAGAGAACCAGGATCCAGTGGGGTGTCTAGTAGAAGACCAGGCAACATTAAGACCTCTAGAAAAGGTGAAACCAGAGCCACAAATGTCTCTCGGAAAAGACCAGGAGATATTTAGATCTCTTGAAAATGAGAATCAACAGTTATTACAGTTCCTAAAAGAAGAGAGCGGCAAGGCAATGAGATCTTCAGAGTCAGAGAATCTAGAACCACCAAAGTCTGCAGGAGACGATTTGGGAATATTGAAATCTCTAGAAACTCAAGAGCCACTGTGGTCTCCAGAAGAAATGAATCAGGAGACAACGAAACCTCTAGACAAGGAAATTCAAGAACCACTGGAGTCTGTGGAAGACGGCCGGGAGACACAGAGGCCTCTAGAAAAGGAGGCTCGGGAATCACTGGGCCGTGTGGGCGAGTGGAACCTAGAGAATCGGGGGCCTCCAGAAGAGCTGGGTCAGGAAAGTCAAAGGTCCCCGACTGAGGAAGAGACCCCCGCACAGAAGGGGGACCCAGAGCCGCCGAGGTCTCTGAAAGAGGCAGGACGGCAGTCGCCACGGAGTGCCCACCAGCAGGGGTGGGACGACACGCTGGGGGGTGGAGAACGGGATCAGGATTCGCCCCCTGGCAGGGCAGCGGCGGGCCAGGAAGCTGAGGCAAAGCCCGTCGTGAGGGAGTCGGGTGGCTTCGTGGGGAAGGAGGAGCCTGAGGGGTGTGGACAGCTGTGGCTGGCGGCTGCAGGGGAGGCCCGGAGTGCTGGCGAGGGTCATCCGGGGAGCCTGGAGCCCCAAGAGCAGAGAGCACCAGTTGAGGGAGCCAGCCGGGAGGGAGGCACTGAGGGCTTCCAGGACCCCGAAGGGCCCCCAGAGCAAGTCCGGGCACCAGGCGTCCAACCTGCCCAGGGAGTGTCTGAGGCGAGAGAGCTGGTGTTGGAAGGTGGACATGAGTCCCCCGGGGGGGACCAGGCCTCCCCAGAGGTCACTTTGGGGTTAGGGACAGCTGCGGGCGAGTCTGCCGCGGGAAGCTGGCAGGGACCAGAGCGGGAGGTGGGGGGGCTGGAGGACCCAGGCTGCCCGGCCCGAGAGGAGGGGACGGCACCACCCATGGGCAAGGAAGGTTTGGAGGGAGAGAGGAGGCAGGGCTCGGAATGGTCCAGAGAGGACCCAGAGGAGGCAGCTGCTCTGGACCCAGAGCTTTCCACCCTGTCCAGGAGGAGCATGGACCCCCTGGAACCTTCCAGGGGCTGGGAAGAGGCAGAGCTGGAGGCCCCCTGGGGAGCAGAGTCCGGGCTCCCCGCCGAGACTGAGGGCCCTTCTCACACGGGAAGCAGTAGGGGTGCCCCTCAGCCCGGGCCCCTGGCGTTGGAGGAAGCAGGAGAGGCAGAGCTAGTGCTGGGGCCCACTGAGCCCCGGGCGCCCACCCCGATCCCTGGAGATGCCCCTGAGCTCCAGCTCCTGGCTGAGGGGAGCTGGGAGGCTGACTCGGGGCTGGAGGGCAGAGCGGAGGCTCTGGGAGGGGTGGAGGGGGAGCAGGAGGGCTTGGGTTCTGAGGGCAGCGCTGAGGATCTCCAGGAGGGGGAGGAGAACAGAGAAGACAGCGAGGCTGACGAACTTGGGGAAACTCTTCCAGACTCCACTCCCCTGGGCCTCTATCTCCAGTCCCAGGCCTCCCCCAGGGGGGATCTGGTTGGAGAGCCGAGGCCCTCCCCGCAAGGGGAGGCCAGAAAGGAAGGCTGGGGTCCTTCTGTCCCGGCCTCTGAGGGCTGTGGGGCCCAGCGAGGGGGCGAGGAGGAGGAGGATGAGGACGAGAACGAGGAGGAGAACAAGGAGGAGGAGGAGGAATGCGGTCAGGACTCTGACTTGTCGGAGGAGTTTGAGGACTTGGAGACCGAGGCTTCTCGCCTTCCCGGGGTCCGCAGGGAGGCTGTGGAACCTCTGGGCCGAGCTCCTGAGCCTGCAGCCTGGGCCCGGGAGGGCGAGTCTGACGGGTTTGCGGATGAGGAAGAGAGTGGGGAGGAGGGAGAGGAAGACGAAGAGGAAGAGGATGGGGGGGAGCCAGGGGCTGGCCGGTGGGGCCCAGGGTCCTCTGTCGGCCCCCTCCCGGCCCTGAGTGGCCCTCAGAGAGGGAGCTTCCCGGGGTTTGAGACCACAGATGCCACCGTCCCCTGGGATGATGGCATGAGGGACGCGGCAGCTGATGTCCGGAGAACCGCCCTGGACACTGAGTCCCAGGACAGCTCGGAGCCCTCGGGCTCGGACGGGGAGTCTGGCCTTGTTTCCTTGGAGAGGGAGGACCAGGTCCCCGACCCTCTGGGAACACTCGGTGGGGCGGGGAACAGCCTGGGTGTCCATGGCCAGGGCCCCAGCCTGAAGGAGGAGTTAGAGCGTGTGAGTGGGGGGGTGGTAAACGGGCTGAAGCAGTCTGAGGGAGGAGGGCAGGGGAAACTGGGGGGCCCCGAGGGGGACCCAGGCAGCCCCTTGGAGGAGGAGGAAAGTGAGGGGGGTGCCCTGAAGTCCCCTTGGGCAGGACCTCCTCTTCACCTGGGCGTGGGCCAGTTCCTGAAGTTCACGCCGAGGGATGATGTCGACTCCTGGTCCTCAGGGGAGGACTAGAGAGAGCTCCTCGCTCGCTGAGGACTCGGGGGGTGTGTGCGTGTTGGGGGGGGTCCCTAAGTCCCGTCCCTGCTCAGAGGCAGCACTCCTTAAGTTATGATCCCTTGACCCGTGGCCTCTGTCCCAGAGGCCTGGCCGGCCAGGGTGAAGCAGGGGTGAGTCCCAAGGACAGAGGCTCCGGAATGCGCCCCAGCCCGCAGACCCTGCCATCCCAGGAGGCTCCAGCCGGCTGAACCGTAGGACCAGGCCCCTTTCCTCCCACACCCTTCGCCCCTCCTGTCCTCTGGGAAGGGCTCCCCCCAGGGGAGGGGGCTGTGGTGGTCCTCACTGCAGGGCTCCCCTGCCCTGTCCCTCCTCGCTGCACCCTTGCAGGGTCTGGCCACTGGGGGAGGGGTGCGCCCAGGCCCTGGCGCCCCACCCCGTGCTCCTGCCGCGCTGCGTCTGGCTCACCCCTGCCTGAATAAAGCAATCTTTGGTCTCTGACACCTGGACTCTTCCTTTCCCGGGGTTGGGGGTCCTCAGGGCCCGGTGGAGAGAGGAGATGGGGTGACCGGGGACGAAGCTGGTGCTGGGGAGGGGCTGCCTCTGCGGAGGGAAGGAACGGGAAGGCCTCCCAGGGCCCGCGGTGTGGGGTGGGTGGCGTCCAGGTGACCCTTGTGCTGGCAGAAGCCAGGGCCATCATCATCTCTGCCCGCAGCACTGATGACAGGGATTAGGCTGGGGGCCACCCCACCATCGGCTTCCTCCCCCCCACCCCCGGCCCTCAGTGCCGCCAGGATAATGAACCCCTTGCCTCCAAACCCTAACAGTCGTCCGGCCTGCGATGTCAACGCCACAGGGCCGGGTCAGAGCGGGGGGGGAGGGAGGCTGTGTGGCCCCTGCTCCGTGTTTGACCTCTCTGGACCTCAGACTCAGCTGCAGTGAGGGGCGCTGGGCTGGGTGACAGGGAAGGGGTGTGGGGAGTGCCTCGGGGGCAGGAAGAACCAGAGGAGGCGAGGTTCAGCCTGGGGTACCCCCTTTCCCTGCCACTGCTCATCCCCGCCCCCTCCTCTCTCCCCAGGAGGGCCCTGGGTCCGTGAGGGCAGGGAGAGGCCAAGGGTTCCCGGGTTAGATGGGGCCCTAGGCCTTGAAGTCAGGATATCCAGAAAGAAACTGCTGGGGCTCTGGCTCACAGCCCCTCTAAGTGTCTGGCTGGGGGCGGGGTTAGGGGCCCCGAGAAAGAAACTTTCCACACTTGGAGGCTGGCCCACGTCCTGGAGCTCTTCCTCTCCCCAGGCGCAAGACTGAGGGCAGGGGGACAATGAGAGGATGGAGTCCCAGCCCCGCTGGCTCCCACTCAGGTCCTCTGGCCAAAGAGGGGTGGGTGGATGGACAGGAGGCGCCCTGGTAGACTCCTGCTGTCCCCCTCTCCACTCGGGAGTCTCTGTCTTGGCCCTCATGTCACACACACCCCTGCCCTTGGGTGCAGGAGTTGGTCCGTCCCCACCCTTCTGGCAGCCCAAGGTTGGGCTCCTTCCTGTACCCAGTGCTGACAAGGCCAGTCTGATCCCTCCAGCCCGCGGGGCCCCGGGGCCAGCACTCAGCGTCTGGGCAAGTAGGGCCCACCCGCTGCCCCTCTCATGGGACAGAGGAGCCCTGTGCTTGATCTCCCCAGGCCCTCGGGCACTGCCGCCTGGGCCAGGAGCCAAGGACAAGAGGCCATGCCAAGCCGTCCTTCCCTATCCCCAGGTGTCCCTCCTGCCCCCGACACTGGGATCCCTGATCCCCTACAGGGTCACCCCCACAACCTGAACAGGGGAAGGATGCGAGTGAGACAGAAGTCAGGGCTTCCGGAAAGGGGGTGTGTAGTGGGAGGCGCGTTCTCTTTGGAAATGGCCGTCTGTCGTTGCAATAAGAGAAATGAAGGTTGGACAGTAACCGGGTCATTCCGGGAGGTGGTAGAGTGAGTGTCGCTTTTCAGGAGACTCTGCTAAGCACCTGCTGTGTGCTGTCACTGTGCAGACTCCGGAATCCGAGGTTCCTCGCTCCCTTCTTCTTTTTTTTTTTTTTTAAAGAGACTTTATTTATTTATTTATTTGACAGAGAGAGAGATTGCAAGTAGGCAGAGAGGCAGGCAGAGAGAGAGGGGGGGGAAGCAGGCTCCCCACTGAGCAGCGAGCCCGATGTGGGGCTCGATCCCAGGACCCTGAGATCACGACCTGAGCCGAAGGCAGAGGCTTTAACCCACCAAGCCACCCAGGCTCCCCTGAACAAGGGCTTCTGAGTGGAAGTCACATTCGAAGACAGAGCCGAGGAGGAGGTTATGGGAGCGTAAAACGGGGGACCTTGCCTGATCTGGGCTGGGGGGGACGGGGAGGGAGGATGGAAAGGATCCCAGTCAGAGGGGATAGCAAAATCCTGGGGCAAGACCAGAGAGCCTGGGGGGTTGTGGACCAGAAGGAAGGCATGTGTGACCAGAGATGGAGGATGACGGGGGAGAAGGTTCACAGGGAGACTAAGGGGAGTCTGAGTCTCTGGGCTGAGGCCTTGTCTGGCGGCCAGGAAGTGTGCATGTCTTCTTGGGGGAATGAGGAGCCAATGCTGGGCTTGAAGGATGGTGGCATGACCAGCTTTGTGTTTTCAATATGACCTCTGTTGGCTGGGCCAGGATAGGCTTCGGGGTGGCTACTGCAATAGTCTGGGCAGGGGCGCTGGTGGCAGGGGGCATGAAGAGGACAGAAGTAAGAGAAGCAGAATCTCAGCTCTTGGTGGCCTGCCATGGGGGATGGAGGAGTGTGTGGCCGCAGAGGCTCCCAGGTTTTCACTGGGCAGCAGGAAGGGGGTTCCCATCTTCTGAGCTGGAGAATCTGGAGGGGCTGCCTTGGGGTTCCGAAGAGAGGGCGAGGGTGGGGACAAGAGCAGGAGGGTGGGTGGCTTGGGGTCAACCAGAGAGCCCAGGAGAGAGCCCCAGGTACCTACCCGCAGAGAGGCCAGGGGATGGGAAGACCCGGGGCCTCGCATCTCAGCGGACCCTGTCCTCTTGGAAAGTTCCAGGAGAGTGCGGACTTTGTCCAGCCCAGGGTCTCTGCGGGCCACCAGGGTGCTCAGCAAACAGGTACAGAATGAACGAAGGGAGGAATGAATGAATGAAGGAAAGAACCGTGATGAGGTCAGACAACAGGAAGCATTTGGGAGGGTGGAGTCCCCAGAGAAGGGAGAGAGCAGGCAGCACCCATCCCTCCAGCACCACCCCCCACCGGGAGGACAAGCAGGAGGTTATTCCGGGGCCTCTGCCGCAAATATAGCCTCCGAGGGGCGGGGGCGGGTGCGGGGCGGAGGTGGCTGCCTCCGTTTGTTTGGGGCACTTCCTTATAAGGCCGTCCAGCCTGAGGCCCCAGAGGGTGAGGTCAGGGGCTGAGCTCTCCACTCAGCCAGCCCGATGCTGTCCCTGCTGCTGCCACCACGGGGCCACCACGGTGCCACCCGCCGGTCTCCGGTCTCCGAGGGAATCAAAGGCCTGGGCTTTGAGCTCTGGCCAAGGGAGCTCCCAGTGGGGCCTCTTAAAGGGGCCGTCCGCCTTCCTGCCTGCTGTGCGTGCCCAGTGCACACTGGGGAGGGTGTCCGTCCAGGGTCCTCTGGGGAGATGGAGCTGGGGCCCCGCTGTTCCCCTCAGAGCCCCTTGGCTGGAGGCTCCACATGGCTGTGGCTCCCTGTGGTCTAACCTTACACCTCCCGCTGCAGGCTGCCCCTCTCCTGGCCTCTTCCGATCAGAGTGGCCCCTCAGCTCCCCACGGCCCTCCCCTAGCCCCTCCTGGGGGACCAGCTGCTGCCACTTGACCCTGTGGTGTCCCAGCTGCCGTGTCTGTAATGCCATCCTCGCAAGGAAGGAGGAATGTGGTTTAATTTCAGCTGGAATGCGCCCTCTGGGCTGCCCACCGCGAGGGGAGGGGACGGGATGGAGACCAAGCCTGCCCGAGCCCAGGAAACTCAACTGGACTCTGGGCTTGGGGACAGGCCTCCGGGTCCCCTGAGCCCTGCCCCCACCCTGCAGCAGAGGCCCTGCTCCAGGACGGGTCCCACAGAGGGATGGGTTTCCCAGGGAGCCGGGGAAAAGGAGGCTTCTTGGGTAAAGAAAGGACCAGGTGCTTATTTCTGAGTCTGCAGGCATAGCCTAGACAGAGGAGAGTCCCAAGGGGCTGAACGGGGAAGGGACTCAATGAAGGGGGTGGGGACAGAAGAGCCTCAGGTGAGCCCCCCCCACCCCAGTCTGCAGCGGGAAGACAGGGAGCTGTTTCCTCTCTCACATCCACTTCTCTGCCTCTGTCCCCGCTAGGGGCCCCTTTCCCTTCCCCGTTCCAACCTAGCACCCCACATCCGGATCACACTTGTCTCTTCTCCAAATTCAGGAGCGCTTGGCTCTGGCCCCTTTATTCCAGGTTCCCCAGGGTGGACGGCCCACCTGTAACCTGACAACAGAAGGGGACCCAGACCGCAGAGAAGGCCTCCGGTCTTCTCAGGCAGCCACCAGCCCCGTTCACCCTGCCCTCCCCCTCGACTCAGCTGCAGCTCCAGAAATAAACCCGGCGGCTGCTAGGGGGCCACCGTCGGGAACCAGCTCCTGGCGGCTGTGGGTTCGGCAGCTGGCGAGCCAGGGCCCCAGGGTCCTGGGGAAGGGCGGCTGCAGGCTTCAGGGCTGGGGAGACACCTCCCAGCTCTGCCCCTCCCAGGCCCTTGGTCAGCCTCACTCACCACTCACAAGCCCACTCTCCCTCCGCATCTCCCCGGTTTTGCCTCCCGTGGTCTGCTACCTGCTTTTCTCCCTGTCCCTGGTTCCTTGCGGGCTCCCAAATCTGTGGGTCTCTCCTGGGCTCCTTCCTTTTCTATTCAGCTCACGTGTCACAGAGAACTTCAGCTCACCTTGATGGGGAAACTGAGGCACAGAGCGACATCCCCTGCCCATGCTCCTAAGAGCCCCTAGACATCTCTTGGGGTCCCCAGAACACGGGTTAGGGGGCTGTGGGCGGCTCCCCTTAATGCCTCAGTCCCCAGAGGTCAGCAGCCCTGCCTGGCTAACAAGCTCCCGAGGACTAAGGGAAAACAGCAGGGAGGCCGCAGGTCCCCACTCGGACGATTAATTAGACGTCAAAGTCCTTCCGTGGTGTCCTCGCGTGCTTCCTCCTTCTCCCTCTTTTCTCACCTCTACCCCCTTCCCCCGCTTCCCCG